TGTCCAATGCCGTGTATCAACATCGAACTCACGCACTCTGTTGTCGCCAGCGTACCTGAGCCAGAACGAGTAATCTCCACGACCAGAATACAGCTCGATCGCCATGTAGACTCGTGTCGTGGACGCGTAGTACCGCTGCACATGCATGATTGCCGCATCGACCATGACAAACTCTGGAGCATCGACTGGCACATTCGTGTTGGCGTACACATCCTCGCGAAATTCCCAAGGAATGCCCTTGGGCGACGCATGTTTGTCAATCCACACAGGTATTGGCGCGTGAGGCTGCCCAACCAACGCAAGCCTAGACTCATCAGCGTCATATGTCTGTCCATTGCAGCGGAGATCCCTGCCTCGTCGGGCCATGGTGGGTACACGTGGCAGGGCACTGCGCATAAAGATACATCAGCCATAACATGGCTACGACGGTGTGACATCGATCGGAGAGGGATGTCGCTATGCCACCTTCGCCGGGGGGGGGGGTGCGGGATGGTGGGGCGGGGGGGGGGGGCGAGGATGAGAAGACGGGTGCCGATGCGTTTGGAGAGGGGGCGGGTGTGGGCGACGTTGAAGTGAGGAACCTGTGCCATGCGATGGCGTGCCTCCTGTCAGACGGACAGGACGAGGAATGCACGAACAGCCTCCGATGGTTCACGCTCAACCTATCAGCTGCAGCGACGTTCAACGCAAATCACTGGCACCCACTGAAAACTCAATGATGTTTCAACGCGTACTGACATGTATGTCTTAATGGTGTACCATGTGTGTTGCTGTATGATAGTTTGCTGCGCTGACTGTTTGCGATGCCTGGTTTCTTTTATAAATGGATTGCCCGTTCGAACTACTGCTGGTTCACATCCTCGCGCGTGTCGCGCTGTGTTTGGTTGTGCGTGGTCGGCGGTGTCCTGTTGTATTTCGTTTGTTGGTATGCCAATTCATGTTTTCCATAGCACCGCTCGGTGATCATCCTCGCCTGGGCGCACCCTCGCACGCGCGTCAAAAAAGACGAGCTGATCGTAAGGACGGCTGGCTGATGCGGGGGGGAGGGGTGTGCGAGTAGGGATGCGGAGCGAGAGGGCGATAGCACCTCAGCCCGAGACTTGATATAGGTAGGAGGGAGTGGTAGAGTGAGAGAGAGAGAGTGATAGCATGCCCCACGACTGCGCGTGAGCTCGGCGCTTACGCTGCGCCCCCGCCGAAAAACAGTCTGCCCCTGCCACGGCCGAGGTGCCCGAACAAATCGAGCTTCTCGAAGCATCGAACCTCCCAGTTCCTCTGATGCACGCTTGCCGAAACTAGTGCTGCTTGCAAGTTCAGAGACTCGTCTTCAAACGTTGCATAGTACAATGGATTACTCTGCTTGTGTATCCTACGAGTCATGTGTATGAAAAAATGATGCTTAAACAGCAGGGGCGTGCCCGACAGCTTCATAAACTCATTATGGCAAAGTGCCAGGTCCAGCAACTGCTGCACCACCTCACGGGGTATCTGCATGGGCGATCTCTTCAAAACTTTCATGTAGTGATGCAGCGCAAGGGCAGCATGATGAAGCGGTATGCCGTGTCTCATTTGATACGCGTGCAGCCCAGACAAGTACACCGCCCATGGCAACATTGCGTTTGTTTCCGAACCCATTGTTTTCATCATAGGAATATGCTCGTGTCCAATCATAGTTTTTTCTAGACGTTTGATCCTGTAGTCCTGTGGAATATCATTTTCGTCGTACCAGCTAAACAATTGTTCTTCGAGCCGCTCGATACCACACGACGACACTGTTTCGAAGCCACCGCTGATATGCCATGGGTTCAATCGCAAGACGCTCCATAGTATTGCTGATATAACTCTCTGGTGGATCCCTAAGTACAAAATGTGCAACACATCGAGCATGAAGGTCAGCGTGGGGGACACATATATAAGTGGGCTGAACATTGGGTTTCTATGGTTCAGAGGGTCTATGCACGCTTGACCGAAGAAAGTAGGCCGCCAGAACACTGCCACAAATGGCAGCTGTATGGCGCTGAACTCTCCTACGTCTGGCAACTGTGGTGTCGGTTCCAATCTGTCGCCTGCTTTCAGGCCGAACCTCGGGACATCCCGTAGCAACACTCTCCCGCGGACGTGGGCTTTGCGCTTGTCCCAGAACATCATCCCCTCACGTATCACCTGTCAGCGGGCCGATGCTTAGTTGCGCGTGCCCGGACATCGTGCGGTGGTGTCGCTGATGCTGCTTATGTAGATGTGTAAGTGCGTGTGTGTGTGGGAGAGGGAGAGAGTGGGTGCTGGTGTGTGTGTGTGCGTGTGTGCGCATGTGTGTTTGCATATGTGTGTACCTGTACGGAATTTCTATACAGGTATGTGCATATACATGCATATATATATACACAAATCTTTGTGACAATTACATGTGTGTAACAGTCGCGTACGCGGTGCCTAAGAACTGGCTGGGGATGGGTGGGGAGGGGCGTGGGGACATGTATACCTATCTGGCTCACACCCCTCCCCGCGCCCATCCAGTCGGTTCCCAGGCACCTGGGCCCTTCCATCCATGGCGTTTATATACAGCACGGACAGCGCAGCATCGCCTGTATGCGATCCGCCTCGGTCGATATGAGCACCTGCACTTCGCACGATTGGCAGTCAGCCTCGTAGTCGTCCAGGTCGTCTGGCATACCCCACACGTCATCATACAACGTGACGTCGGTGTAGTCGTGCATGGTGTCGGCGAACGTCCTACACATCATGCACGGCCTCCACCCACTCCCGAGGCCGCGGAGGCCGAATGTGGTCGATTGTTCGATCAGGTCGCCCTTTATCCACACAACCAGCCCTTTCCGTATGGCATCACCCGCTGTTGTTGTTCTAGGATCGTGTGTTGGCCATTGGCTGTGGTCATGCCTACGGTGCGGCTTGTGGCCGTGGATCAGTGCCACCAACGACCATTTGATTACCAACATGACTTGGTACACCGTGCACCATCCACGGCAGCCACACTTGCATTGTTCTGATTTTTTTCAGGATTGCCAGAGTGTGCCTGCGGCGCGTCCAGACATTATACATGAAGAACGCTGTTACTGTATCTGTTTTTCCGACTCGCTCTGAGCGCGTATATCTGATCCCGTCCACATACAAGCACAGTAGCAACGGGCAGTTCTCTCTGCCGATGTGTTGAAGCCCTGGGTGCCAAGAGTAAAGGTCATACATATCTTGGACACGTGCGTCAGACTGCATCGATTCCACAGACAATGATTCAGTCGTGTCCACTTCTAACTGGATGGCCTCATGAGCTGGTAGAATCGGTATTTCTTTGATCGTCCGCCCACCACGCCCAGCGGTCGGAACTTCGATCCAGTAGTAGGTCGACTCAGGCTTCCTTGGAATAACTCGGTCGAGATGTTTCTGAAAATTACCACCGTTGTTACGATCGGGGTTGAGAGCGAGCGAGGCGGTCTGACCCTCCATCCCAGCTTGTTTGCAGAAGAAGGCAATCGAGCACACGTCCTTCGCCGTCATGGGTCGGGATCCAGCGTACATCTCCAACAGATACTTGTAGAGGGCCGAGCTCGCGGCATGCATTTGCCTGGCACGCGCCTGAGAGGCATCATCCCACGGGCTTGGAGGTTGAAGCCACGGAAACATGTGCAGCTAGCGCTCGGGAGCCAAAATGGCTAGATACGGAGAGGAACCGATCGGGGAGGGGAATGTTGAGGGAGATGACGGGGCGGAGGGGGTGGAGGCGGAGGGCAGATGCGAGGCAGGGGCGCCCCCTCTTTCCGAGTTACCCCTGTTGGCCTGCAGGCGGGAGGGGCGCGCGCCAGGCGCGCGAAAGGAACGCTGAAATCAGGGCCACAAACGATTTCAGCACGCCCAACGCACACTCCGTTCAGCCCTCCGAGCTAGGCTGAGGTTGAGGATGATTGAGTCTGAATGTTAGTGTGTCTGACTGTTCATGAGTCCACGTGAGTGAGTCTGCGAGTGAGCCTGAGAACCAGTGGGTCCGGATACGAGAGCGTCTGGAGGGGGTGAAACCAGCGCGAGTTGGATGAGGAGAGGAGTTAGAGGTTACGAGTTGTAAATTGTGCGAGTTGCCGTTGGTATTTTGATGTTGGTGGTGTTTTTTTCCATTGCCTCCCGGAATGTTTGTACAGTTCTCGCATGTCAAGATTTCAACAAATTTCAACGGATTTCACTGATTTTTCACTTATTTTTCACGCGTGTTTTTTGCATATCTATATACAGTGTTTTGTGTGGGTTTCAACAAATTTCAACAGATTTCAACGATAGTTCACTGATTTTTCAACTCGGTATTTGGGCATCAATCCTTGCAAATATTATGGTTGTGCGTGTGTTTTTTGTGCTGACGGCGTGTGATTGCTCGTTAGGTGTTGTGATTTTCGAGGTGTGTACGTGTTTTTGTGTTTGATGGCGTGTGTTTGCTCGTTCTGTGTTGTGTGTTTAGTAGTTTGCTTGTTTGATCATGTGTGTCCATGCGTTTGGTGTGTGCGTGTGCGTGTGCGTGTGCGTGTGCGTGTGTGTGTGTGTGTGTGTGTGTGTGCGTGTGTGTGTGTGTGTGTGTGTGTGTGTGTGTTGCTCTCGTTGGACGTGTTAACACCTCGCTCATTGCTGGATCTGTACGGCACACATGGGCGAGGCGGACTGTGATGGGAGCACGACGGGGAGCATTCTCTCACGCTGAGATCTTGCTGGCAAACTGTGCGGCACCTCTCGTGTCACGCGCGCCGAGAGGACTGCGGTGTGCGAACGTCTTAATCGCACCGAGTTCCGTGAGCCACCACGTGAACCCGAAACAGCACGTCACATGGGAGAGGCCGAGGTACCGCAATTTCTTGCATGAACCTGTATCCACTGCCACATGTCGGCTCCCCCATGTGTTCAAACGAAAGCTGAACACGTGCCTGTATACATACCTATGCTACTAAATGAGCTTGGCGTTGCACGCCACCGAGCAGCGCATGCATCGCGTCGTCTAGATGTTGGCCAGCCTCTGCTTCTCCCTGTGCATGTTCTGCAGGCAGGTGATCTCGGCCTTGAGCTTCTTCAGCGGCGACTCCAGGGCAGGGGTCACGGACACGATCTTGTCGTCGAAGGTCTCCTCTGCCATCTGTCTCTTCACTTTTGCGATGTCAGTGATCAAAATCTCTTTGATGAATTGGCTCCCCATGGCGGCCGAGACCAGCGCGTTCAGGCTCTCCTGCAGGCCCGAGACGCCCTCGGAGTTGTTGGCCCACTTCCATTCGGGCAGCGACTTGATGTTGTCCAGGATGAGGTTTGCTTGGGTCACGGTCTGTCCGTACTCCGAGATGGACGTCTGCGCGCATTCCATGTTTGTTTTCTGCGTCTTCTTGAGCTGCTTGATCCTCTCCTTCTCCTGCTCGGCGTCGGTAGTCTTCCCGTCGACGTCACCCGTCTGCGCGGTGCCCGCCTTAGCCTTAGCTTTTCCTCTCGGCATTTTCTTCGCCCTTGGTGTCGGCTGCGGTGGTGTCACATTCTCGATGTTGCGCTTCTTCGTCGGGTCTACCACGTTGTCTCTTCCTTCCAGAACTGCTGGAGCCGCTGAAGCCGTTCCGCCTCCCGCGATTGTCACTGGAGCAGCTGGGGTCGGTTGGGCCGTTGGAACGGTTGGAATTGCGGCGTTCGTTTCCATCATCTCAGTGATCTCGCTGTATTGCTTCTCGAACTTGTATTTGTACCCCGACTTCATGTACAAGTACTCCATGCGTTTGCTCTGCCAGTTGTACTTGCACCAATATCCGCCCAATTTGATGCAACTGAGGCAGATGTTGAGCGCGGCCTCCGCTCCCGATGACGTGATCCCTGTCCCAGACTCCTTGCCTGCAATGACCTCGAACGGCTCGTAGGTGCCGAAGTCAGCCCAGCTCTCCGCCATATTCTCCACCACCGTGCGCCTCTTCTTGTACTTTACCCACTCCTCGTCGAACCACCTCTTGCGGAAGTCTGCCTTCGCGATGTTCCCTTTGGTGGTCTCGTATTTCTTTCTCTCATCTGGGTTCGCATCCAAGAAGGTATGGAAGCGGTTGCCCAATGCGCCCCTCGACGGTACGACGCCCGTTGCATGGGCTTCTTCCAGGAATCGGTCTTTCGTCTTGTCGTCGTCCTCCGCCTGCTTGTTGAAGTATGCATTCTGGACGGCCGTCAACTTCGTGTTGCCTTGCGCCTGATTGTAGATGTCAGTCAGCTTGGAGATCAGCTGGGACAAGCTCGCTGGTTCATTGGTGCGCATGGGGTCATTCGGGAGCTGAGTCAAGTTGGCGACCTCGTCCCGCGACGACGCGGCCTGCGACCCCAGCTGTTGGATGCCGATCTCCGCCAGCGGCGCAGCTTGCAGGCCGATCTCCGCTAGCGGCGCAGCCTGCAAGCCGATCTCACCGAGCTGCGCCGCCTGCAAGCCGATCTCACCGAGCGGCGCCGCCTGCAAGCCGATGGAGCCGAGGTGCGGGGCGGGCGCATGAAGTGGTGGAGGTGCTCCAGGCGGCGCACCGTCCTCGGGCTAAGCGCACGCGCGCCAAACCGATGCAACGCACGAAACACAGCTTGAACATCATTGAAACCGATGGCCTCGACATTTCAAGCTGGTCCAGACGGTGCGCGCGCGTGCGCACGTTCGCGTGCGTGTGTGTGTGTGTGTGTGTGTGTGTGTGTGTGTGTGTGTGTGTGTGCGTGTGTGTGTGTGTGTGTGTGGGTGTGTGTGTGTGTGTGCGCGCGTTGTGTGTGCGAGTGTGTGTGCGTGTGTGTGGGTGGGTGAGTGCGTGCGTGCGTGCGTTCGTCCGTGCGTGCGTGTGCACGGGCATGCGTGTTCGTGAGTGCGCGTGCGCGCGCACGTGCGCGCGCGCGTGTGAAAACTAGATGACACGCGGACCCTCGTCCCCCTCGCAAGGGGGACGAGTACGGTGATAGAGGCGTTGAATGCCCAGCTGTCTGGCTGGCGGTCGTGAGGCCACGGCGACGAGCCCGTCCCCTCGACTGTCATGTGGCCGCCCGTGACGGCGTCGTGCTTGATGTTGCCGATGTCTGTGCCGTGGTCGCTGTTGCCCTTGCCGATCTCGGTGTCGCCGCCCTTGTCGTTGGAGCCGCGCGTGTCCTCGAACGTGTCCTTGGCGCTGGCGTCGCCAGCTCCCGCGACGTCGGGGCTGCGACGCTGGTGCTTCGTCTGGGTGAGGGGCGCCTCGTCGCTGTCATCCATGGCCACATCGGTTGCGCTCCTCTTGCCACTCACGGCATTGGCGTCGACGCCCTTGTCACGGGAATCGTCGCTGTCGGTGATCTCAACCACGGTGTCAGTGCGGCGTGGGTTGTTGATGTCGTCTCCGCTGGAGGCCGCACCATCGCCGCTGGTCTGGCCCTTGGAGCCGCCAGTGCCGTCGTCAGCGCCCTGGTCGACGCCCTTGGTCTCGGAGCCGTCCTGGCGGCGATCAGGAGGGGGCAACGATGTCCGACGAGGGGCAGGGCGAGGAGGAGGAGGGTGATTGTGACCAAAATTGGCATCAGGATGAACATGAACTCCCTGGGGTCCCCTCGGATAACCACTGGCGAGGGCATCGACGTTCGGCTTGAACCCGCATGAGGTCCCCCACATCCCCCGTAGAACGCTCGCCCACGGGGGACTCGTCCTCAGGGCAGTCAGCTGTAAGTGCGTGCGTGCGTGCGTGCGTGCGTGCGTGCGTGCGCGCGTGCGTGTGTGTGTTTGTGCGTGTGTGTGATGTGTGTGTGTGGTGTGTGCGTGTGCCGTGTGTGTGTGTGTGTGTGTGTGTGCGTGCGTGCGTGCGTTCGTGCGTGTGTGCGTGTGTGCGTGTGTGCGCGCGCGTGTGTATGTGTGTGTGTGTGCGTGTGTGTGCGTGAGCGTGTGCAGTGTGTGTGTGTGTGTGTGTGTGGTCGGGGGAGGGGGGGATGCGTGGGTGCGCGATCTGCGTCGCATGTTAGGTGTTGGTGCATGGCGCTGATGTTTCGATGTCTATCGGCATTGCTGATGCCGCGATGCCAGTGTTTCTTGCGTTACCAACGAACCTGAGATGCACTGATGTTCAACGGGATGCAACCGAATTCGCTGTTTTTAATGCTTGTTCAATGCGTGCGTTTGTCATGCGTGCGCGATGCCAGCGTTCAGCCGTTCTGGGTGACAGAGGAGGGCCAGGGTGAGGATCAGGAGGGGAAGGATGATGAGATATGCGGAGGCGAGTGATGAGATGCTGCTGCTGCTGACGATGATGATGATGATGCTGGTGATGCTGCTGCTGCTGCTGATGATGATGATGATGCTGATGATGATATTGATGATGATGATGCTGATGATGATGACGATGACGATGTCGATGATGAGGATGCTCATTATTGTTGGTTCTGCCGCCCCCAGGCGGTCTTGAAACCTCATGGGTCGTCCATGAGATGCGAGAGCGCGGCCTCCATCATGGACGCAGCTGGGCCGTCCATGTCGCTCGTGGTGTTGGCCATCTCGCCGTCCGCCTTCGTGTCTGGCTTGCCCACGTGGTCTGTGATCATTGTCTTGCTGATCGAGTCCTTCTTGCTCGGGGTCTTCATGTCGGGGGATTGGCTCCCAGCTGCATCCGTGCTGGTCTTGTCTGCTGCCACTGGTGTCACCTTCTGCGCCGGCGCCAGCTCCTGCTTGGTCGGAGTTGCCGCTGGCTTCTTCATCAGCTGTGAGTCGACTGGCACCTCGTGCGTGGAACGCTTGCGCTTGATCTGGTGGCACGCAGCAGCTGGCTTCTTCATCACGGTGCTGCGCTTCTTCTTCTTCAGCGGTGCGTCGGTCTCGTCGTCGACGGCCTCGAGATCGTCTTCCTCGTCGGAGGACGCGGCATCTGCAGCGTCTGCGTCCGCATCCTTGTCCTCGTCATCGCTGTCATGGTTCTCGCCAGCGACCTGCTCGACGATCTCGGCGTCGTCCTTGTTGTGCATGCCTGGGGGTGAAGCTTCATCAATCCTCCTCATCCTCCGTCTCATCATTCCTTTCCCCCTCTCCCTCATCCTATCTACCATGTCAGAGCCTATATGTGAACCTCTCTCATCCTCACCATTATTTCCTCACCCTCCTCCTCCTCCTCCTCCTCCTCCTCCTCCTCCATCCTCCTCCTCACTGCTCTCCTCCCAGCCATCTGCCCTCCTCTGCATCCCGCCCTCCTCGGAGAGGAGAGCGGGGTGGGAGTGCGATTCTAGTCCGTCTATGCCTGCAGGCCGCTTGCGAACGACGTGCTTCTTCAGCTCGTTCTGCAGCTCGATCCTGCACTTGTTCGCATCGGCCTTCGTCTTGATCGTGCCATCCTTGAACTTCTCGATGATGTGCTTGTGCACGGCTTCGAGCGCTGCCTTCTCTGACTCGAAGTAGCCGCAGCTGATGTTCGTCATCTGCTCTTTGCCCTTGCCCCCCTTCACTGTGCGATGGACCCTGATCAGCTTGTCTGGGCCGCGGTCGGCCATGATGAAGGCCTTGACTTTCAGACCGTCGGGGGTGTCTGTCCAATCGTTCAATCTGGACGAGTGGGCCCGACATTTGTCTACGTCGGTGAACACCTTCTCGAACACCCACTTGTCATCGCAGTCGTCGTCGTTCTCCCAGTAGGCCGTGTGCTTGCCGTTCTCGTCGGGGCCGTCGATTCTTGAACATTTCTCTGCAGGCCCCGACTTCCTGTTGTTGATCATCGGGATGCGGATCGGGGCCTGGTGTGTGATCTCGTCGTATTTGTACACGTACTTCACGCTCGCGAACATGGGGTCTGATTGCTTGACGCCAATCTTCTCGAGCGGCTCGCTGAACCACTGTGGCCAGACCTTTCTAGTGAACGTCGTGCTCGCATGCTTGAGCATCGCGCGAATTCTCTCGCTCATCTCGATGGACCAGCTCGTCAGCACTGCGCCTTGGACGCCTGGCCAGTTCTTGTCGTTCCCTATCAAGTAGAGCGCATTCTCCAGGGATTTCTTGCTCAACCACATGTTGGGCGCGACATTCTTCCTGATGCAGTAGACGATGTCGATGTGGGCGGCCATCCTGTCCTTGTCTGGGCCTGATCTGCCCTTCTTCGTCGGGTAGATGACGAACTCGGCCGTCGTCACGAACGGCGCGAGGTGCTCCTTCATGAGGCTCACGTCCACGCATGCATGTGGCGAATCGGCCGAGACGTCTGATGCCGCTCCGTCGGCCATGCCTCCGGCAGTGGCCCGCGCGAGCGCTCAGCTGGCGCTCGTCGCGCCTCCTAGCCAAAATGGCTATTGATCATGCTGTTGTTTTTTATCATTATTTGAGTGATTGTATCTCTTGGGCGCTTGGTGGCCGCTTGGGACGTCTTGTGGGTCTCGCTGCGATCCTGGAGGGCTCTTGGGCGTCTTGGGTGCATTGGGGGGGTGTGGGGGGGGCGCTTGGGGTCCTCTTGGAAGCCTCCTCGGGGCCTCATGGGGCTATCTTGGGACCATCGTGTGGCCTCTTGGGACCTCATGTGTGCCTGTTGGGGCCATCTTGTTAAGAGGCCAAAATGAGGCCAACGCTGGAATAAAACTTCCTGCCCCCACACCGTTCATGTCCAGGAGAGGGGTGAGAGGGGAGAGGTAAACATTTCTCCGAAAGGGAAGAATGGGGCTTGGAAGCGGACGTCCCCTAAAACACCTACGCCCAGAGAGCTGGTGGCAATCATTCTACTTCTTCTCTTCCTCATCCTCCTGCTCTTCCTCCTCATCAGATTCAGACTCTTCCTCCCCACTCCCTCATTCATTCCTCCAGCCTCCCCCGTGTCAACATCCTCCCTGTTTCGCACTGTTCGGCAGCCCACCTCTTTGCTCCCGTACTTCCCTGATCACCTCACTCGCCTGGACATCGTTGCTGGATGGGCTGGTGGGGATACGCGAAGCGTATGGATGGGCTGGTGGGGATACGCGAAGCGTATGGGCTGGTGGGGATACGCGTATTTCAACGAAGTTCAACGGATTTCACTGGAATTTCAACGCTGGGGACTGATGGCATGATCGGGCACGAGGAGTAGGATGAGGAAACTGAGACGGACGAGGAGGACGTGGGTGAGTAGGATGCGCACACGCAAAGATCAGAGGATGACGCGGAGCAGGAGGAAAGGGGGAGGGAGGGAAAGGAGGGAGCGAGTGAGGGAGGGAGGGAGGGAGGACGAGGGAGAGGAGGAGGACGAGGATCTCGAGAAGGAGAATGGGGGGGAGGGATTAGGACGAGGAGGAGGCGAACGAGGAGGGCGAGGCGAGCGGCCGTGTCCTGGAGGTCCGCCGCCGAGACGCCAGCAGCAGCCAGCACCTGGGCAGCACATGGAAACATGCGGTGGCACGGGATATCCCGTGCCACCGTATGTGTCCCATCGAGGGTGTATTGCAGCATCGATGACGCTCCTCCTCCTCCTCCTCCTCCTCCTCCTCCTCCTCCTCCTCCTCCTCCCTATACTCTTCCCTACCCTTTCTATTCCCGTCCACAACCTGCGCCATGTCGGCTGCTTGCCCGCGCAGCCGAGCTGCCTGGGG